TCGATATCTCGCTCGGTCTATTCAACGAGGGTACTGCGTAGTCGATCTCGCTCGAGCCCTAACCGCGGCACATGAACCAAAAACACTACACTGCCCTGGTTGTGAACACGTAGCTGGATCTTGGCTCGAGCTTCGACTTCATCTGGCGCGGCATCTGCCGTTTCTTCCTGACATACGCGCGCCAGCCACTGCGGGCAATAACCCCTGCTATGGCCGACGGGGGCGCCGACGAGCCCGAGTGGAAGACAGACGCAGGCGTGGGAGCAAGGATGGCGCGGGGACTCGCGAGGGGCACGCGATTGGCAGGCTCACAAGAAGCAGCCGTCGGCACGAAGAAGGACAAGGCAGACGAGCTCGTCGCAGCAGCCAAAGGCTCGGCGGGCAAATGCGCCTCCAAGGCGCAAGTCGCGCCGCCACTCGCCCTCCTGCTCGGCAAGCTGGCGCTCAGCATGGAAGACAACCTGAGGTCGGTGATCGGCGCGGTGGCCGTGGCGGTGCTCGGGCCGCCCGAGATGCCAGCAGTGGCCGCAGCCGCGATGGAGGGCAAGGACTACCACAGGGCGGCGAAGAAGCCGAGGGACGACCACAAAGAAAACGAGATGGTGGACACGGCGCAGCTGGGGAGCACGCGCATCCACGCGTGGAAGGACCGCGCCCGCGCCCTGCTCGCGAGTACCGAGGCAGGCCAGGCGAGGAGCACGCTCGCCACCCACGGGAAGGGCTACTTCATGAAGGAGAATGTGGGGGACTCCAAGGTGCGTGTCCCGCAGGGCAAAGAGATGCAGAAAATACCCAAGCGCACGAAGGGCAACGTGCGTCTCCAAGGTGCTTCCAACCAGCAAGGTGGCGCAGGACCTGGACACGATCCTCGGGGGCGAAGTCGAGCGCCAGGGCGGAGAGATCAAGATCGGAGCGGCAGTGAGGGGTGTCTTGGAGAGGGACGCCAGAGCGCCGTGGAACAAGCTCGGGGGCGCGTAGGGGACCAGGAGCTGAGCAGGATGACGGCCCTCGCCAATTCCGCCAGACTGCAGAGTCTGGTATCTAGAGGCGTCTTGAGTAGGGAGTCTGTCCTCGCCTCTTTCACTTCTTCCCTCTCCGAGCAGAATCTGGAGGACCCCAGAGGCCGCTTGATCCCGCTAGCGAAAATTCAACCGCGCCCCAAAGGGGGACAAGTTAAGGGCAAAGGTGGGGGGAGACAAACTCGTCCCCCTCAGAGAGGGAGGGGGTAGGGGCCGCCCGCCTGCTTTGCCCTGGCTGGGGGGATGCCGCGGGGCCCCCCCTGGCCAGGAGAAGGCAGCGGGTTGCCCTCTCCCCCTCCGCGTTAGGCTGGAGGGGCCGCCACCCTTGCGCCCAGCGTCTTCCCCGAGAGGGCCGCAGGGGGGCCCGTGTCTTTTCCGCCAGTGCCAGCGCAGGAAAGAGTTGCAGCCTGAACACCAGGCATGCCGCCCAGCGATCAAGACTCGTCGGAAAGCGCTGCTTGCTTCGCCAAGGGTTGCCTAAGTCTAAGTCTCCTCCTCCTTCTCCTCCTCCACCTCCTCCTCCTCCCCTCCTCTCCCTTTTCCTCTTCCTCCTCGTCCTCCTCCTCCTCGTCCTCCTCCTCCTCCTCCTCCTCCCCCTCCTCCTCCTCCCCCTTCCCCTCCTCCTCCTCCTCCTCCTCCTCCTCCTCCTCCTCCTCCTCCTCCTCCTCCTCCTCCTCCTCCTCCTCCTCCTCCTCCTCCCCTCCTCCCCCTCCCCCTCCCCCTCCTCTCCTCCTCCGCCTCCCATCTCCCCCTCCCCCCCGTCCTTCCCCTCCTCCCCCTCCACTTCCTCCCCCTTTCTCCTCTGCCTCTCTGCTTTGTTTGGCGAGCGCGACCCTGGAGCGGATAGCCGTGCCAGCCACACGCCGCAAGGGAGATTCTGAAGGCTACGCCACATCCGCCGACCCCTTTTTTTTGATATCGGGAGTAGTGGGAACCACCAGGGGCCCTGAGAGGACACCACACAGCTCGACGAAATTCCAGGAGAGTCCCGAAGGGGTACCTGGGGCATACCAGAGGATAACAATGTCGTCTCGAGCTGGTCCGAGACCTGCACGACGCCGACAACAGCGAGGCCCTTCATATCTTGTCAGCTGATTTCCTGCGGAAGACACCTAACATCCAAATGCGATGTGACAAGTTCGGTTCACCAAGGGACCCGATAGTTCGTCGTGACGCGCACCGTGTGATTCCCTAAGGTACCGCGAGCGAGCGGCCTTCGGCCACTCGGGACCTTCGTGGACCGTCTTGGGATCCTCTTGGGGCGTTCTTGGCCCGTCTTGGAGCCGTCGGGGGCCCTATGGCGTGTTCGTTCCGCGCCCAGTCCAGTTTGGGGGGGGGGGGGGGGGGGGGAAATACCCGGTTTGGGGTCCCAGGGGGGGGGGGGAATGCAGTGGAGGGGGAAGCACGCGAGGCAGAACGCGAGTAAGAGAAGGGCATCGAAGGGGACCCACGGTTGGTGGCGCAGGTGAAAGCGGGCGTGGACCATGTGGTCGGGAAGGTGGACGCGATGCGTCGGTTCCGTTTCCAAATGCGCTTGGGATGGAAATTTTCAGGCACACGTAGGTCGTGGTGCGGAATGAAACTCCGAGAAACACAAGTTCCCATGGGTCGCCGCAGCCGAAACACTGGGTTGGGGAAGACGACAGGACTGGGCTGGTGTTGATGGCATACTTTCGAGCGTTCACGCTGCGAGTGCGACCCTGAAGGGGATAGCCGAGCCAGCCACACGCCGCCAGGGAGATTCCCTGTTCAGTACTGCCGCTGGGGGGGGATGGGGGGTCAGAGGAATGGAATTCAGATATCGAGGACGAGGGTCCGCGGACGACATGTGTGCACCTTACTGGGCTGGCGTCTCCCGAGGCGTCGCCTTGCCCTCGACCCAGGGATGGCACGGTGCATCGTTGCTCGGCCCAGAGCAGGAGCAGCAATGCACCGTACCGCGCTGAAACGGGGCCTGCAGGGAGTCCAAGCGCGGTTGCGGATTCTGGGCGCAATTCTTTTATCGGCGGCGCGCCCAGGGGGGAAGTCAGAGGGGGCCGGCTTCCTCAGAAGGCTCGAAAGTCCTCCGACCGTCTCGGAAGATTTCGAAGCCTTCCCCGACGACGCAGAACACTGTCCAGAAGGCGCGAGGGCTTCTGAGAAGCCCCGCCGCCTTTGAGAAGGCCTTCTCTTTCTCACTTCCCTCCGGGGCGCGCCGCCGATAAGAGGAGGAGGAGGAGGAGGAGGAGGCGAGGGATGATGATGATGATGATGATGATGATGATGATGATGATGATGATGATGATGATGATGAGGATGAGGATGAGGATGAGGGATGATGGATGAGGATGAGGATGAGGAGGAGGAGAGATGAGGATGAGGAGGAGGAGGAGGAGGAGGAGGAGAGGAGGAGGAGGAGGAGGAGGAGGAGGAGGAGGAGGAGGAGGAGGATAGGGATGGGGAGAAGGAGGAGGAGGAGGAGGAGGAGGAGGAGGAGGAAGAAAGGAGGAGGAGGAGGAGGAGGAGGAGGAGGAGGAGGAGAGGGATGGGGAGGAGGAGGAGAGGGATGGGGCCAGTTTCTCTCATCGCTCGCCGGCGACTTTCCCCGGGGCCAGAGCTTCTCTCCTCGGGAGCGGCTTGGGCGAGGGCCTGGCGGCCCCGGGCAGGCCCCTGGAGCCCGACGGCGGCCACCGTCGGCGCTCCTCGACGTCGATCCCCGGTCGTCTGCCTCGACATCCTCCCTCGCTCGTCGGGCCTCGATGCTCCCTGGTCCTCGATGCTCCGAAGAGGAAAAGGTACCCATACCTCTACCCTTTCCTCGTTTTCCCTTTTTGGGCCTCCTCGGAGGCCCTCGTCGCCACCGTCGGATTCGCCTCGAAATTCTGGTCAGAACGCATCCCGGGAGAGGTCCGGGGAGTAGCGGTATCGGTACCTTTTGAATTCCCCAGATGCTCTTCGCATTTCTGGTGGAGGGGAAGTTCCCGCTTCACACACGCAGGGCGGGCATTTCCGCTGAAGTGTGGCGGACACAGCGACGGCAAAGCAGGGCGAAGGTCGGCATCACATGAGCTTGAGCAGTCGGGCGGCCATCTCCGCCCTGCCAGCGAAAGGGCGCCCAGAGCGCGGCGGACCCGGGGTCAGGGTGGACCCCGCCCTTCTGCGGCACCCGAGCCGGATCGATCCCGGAAGGCCGTTCGGCAGGAGCGGGGCACCCTCCGGCACGCGCGGAGCGCGCGAGCGGGCTCGCGCGCGCTCCAGGAGGACCTCCGCGATAGGGCCTCCGGGAGGGCCCCGTGGAGCCCAGAGCCCGAGCCTCGGCCCGCTCCCTCGGGAGAGCGCGCGCGCGCTGCCTCGGGAGAGGACCTCCGCGAGGGCCTCCGCGAGGGCCTCCTGGAGGGCCTCGGGCCCGCCCCCTCGGGAGAGCGCGCGCGTGCCCCCGGAGGCGTGCCGCGCACGGCCGCAGGAGCGCGCGAAGGCCGTGCCCTCCCTCGGCAGGGCCGGCGGCGGGGCGCCCTCGGCGAGGCGCAGCTGCCGGCATAGCGCCTCCCTCTCGAGGGAGGCCGTGCTCTCCGCCCGTCTGCCGCGGCCCCGGCGGGGCCGTGGCTCGTCAGGCCCGCGGCGGGCAGGCCGTCGTCGCCGTCGCCGTCGCCGTCGTCGCCGTCGTCGCTCCTCTTCCCCGGGTGATAGGGATCACGACGGGCGGCTTTGAGCCGCTTTCGGCCCCCGGGGGCCGACAGCGGTCCCAGGACCTTCAAAAAAAACTACTCGCGAAGGGGTCGGGGCTCCCCAGGGACCCCGTATTGTCTGGGGACAGAGAGTGTGTCAGAGATAGAGAGAGAGAGAGAGAGAGCGAGCGAGAGAGAGCGAGAAAGAGAGAACCGGACCTTATCGCCGCTCTCCCCTACCTCTTCTCCTCCTCCTGGTCCTCCCCTGTTCCCCGCCTGTCCTGGTCCACTATCGTCCTCCTCTCCCGCTCTGTCCCGCCTCGGCGGCCCCGTGGAGGCCTTGGACTCCAAGAGCCCGTCCAGCGGGGCATTCGTGGGCGAGCTCCCGAGCGTGGACGTGTCGACGAGGAGGATCATGCTCAACAGCGGCGGCCTGTCAAACCATTTGTTTTCGCAGGGGCGCTTTGGCAGCTGCGTCGAGCGCATCGAGATGAAGCTTCTCGAGCCACCGTGCCCGACCGCAGGACTTCTGGGCCAGATGGTGGCGAGCAAGAGGTTCGAGTTTCTCTCGGCCCTCGTCATCATTGTCAACGCGGTGTACATCGCGTACGTGTCCGACCTGGAAATCGAGAAGGTTGGCAAAGGGGAGTTGAATGTGATCAGTGCTTGGTTCTGGCTGGAGATCGTGTTCACGGCTTGGTATGCTTTTGAGTGGGCACTGCGAGTCGTTGTCTACCGGTTGTCGTTCCTGTTGTGTAAGGATTGGTCTTGGAATGTGTTTGACACTGTCCTTGTCGCGCTGTCGCTGCAAGACATTGTGCTGTCAGTGGGCATGACGAACCCTGCGTTCCTTCGCGTCATGCGACTCGCGCGCATGCTGAAGCTGCTGCGGGTGATACGTTTGCTGCGTATGTTTCGCGAATTGCGCCTCATTCTGAACGCGATTCTAAGCTGCGTCAAGTCGATGTTTTGGGCCATGTTGTTGATCATCAACGTGTCATTCATTTTTGGGCTGTGCTTCGTGCAGGCCACCGCCGACTACCTGCGCGATCAGGGGGACGGGGTGGGCGATAATGAGAAGGGTGAGCTCTTGAAGTATTGGGGCAGCTGCAGGACCTCGATGTACTCCCTGTACGCGGCTGCTTTGGGCGGTGTCGATTGGGACATACAGGCAGATACCCTGCGCCCAGTTGGCAACCTGTTCTTCCTGTTGTACCTGTTGTACGTCGGCTTCTTCTTCTGCGTTATCACCAATACGCTAACGAGCTTGTTCGTGGAGGCCACAATGATCAACGCCGAGAAGGATCAGCAGCAGGTGATCCAGGCGGAGCTGGAGCAGAAGGAGGTGTACATCCAGCAGCTCCAGAGGTTGTTCCTCAAGTTTGGCGGGCAGGGAACGGGAGAGGTAACGCTGCAGGACTTCATAGCGCACATCGAAGATCCAGAGATGATCTGGTTCGCGGCGAACCTCGGCATCGACATGGTTGATTTGAAGCAGTTCTTCGCGGTTCTGTCCTCCGGTGGCCGCCAGCTCGTCGACCTCGAGCATTTCGTCGTAGGGTGCATCAGACTCAAGGGCTTGGCCAAGAGCATGGACGTGATGGACCTCGAAGACGAATAAACTGCACAATCATAAATGTTCGGAGCTCCGCGCCGATCTCTTGTATCGACGCTGGTGGCGTCGTCCTTGGCACGCTCCGCGCGCCAGGGAGGGGGTCCAGCGCCGATCCAAGACATCCGCACAGAGCTTCGAGAAATCATGCTTTTGTCGGACGGGGCCAGGACGAGGATACGTCCGTTTTAGAGCGTTCTGGAACGCTCTCAGAGCGATCCGGAACGCTCTGAGAAGGCCGCGGCGCCCGAGACAGCCTCCAGAGCCGCCGGATCTCAGAGATTCTCGGTTGCTCCTCACCCGACGTTGTCCTCGGCCTGGCCTGGTCTGACCATGCCGCTTGTGGGTTCCGCTGAGGACCTGAAGCTCACCCTGAGGCACGAGTCGGGGGACGTGCGGGAGTGCCTGAGACTGCTGGAGGGCAGGATCGAAGCTCGGAGGAGGGCCAGCGGAGACGGCGGCGGCACTCCCGCCTGCTCCAAGCTCGCTCGGAATGGGTGCCCGGGCCACTCCTGGGGCCTATCCAGTGGGGCGTTGCGTAATGGGGGGGGGGCGATAGATGGGAGGGGGGTGAAGATCAGGGGGGGGGGAAGGACCCACGCCGCCACCCTGCGCCCGTTTTCCCCTTTTTGGGCCTCCTGGGAGGGCCTCGTGGCCACCGCTGGGTTCGCCTCGAAATTCTAGTCAGGACGCACCCTGGGAGAGGTCTGCGGAGTAGCGGTATTATCGGTACCTTTTGGTCTCCCCAGAAGAGAGGTGCACCTCTTGTCCCCTAGAGGGCCCCCCCTGGGGTACGAACGGTGTGCGTGTCTTCGCCCCCCGAGTTGAGCGACGCAGCGAAACGGGGTCGTCTGCGCCGACACTGGCGCGTCAGCTGCCCGCGTGAGGTCGCGCGTAAGCGCCTTCGCTCCCAAGATGTGCCGCGCTGGCGGCCCGCCTTGGCTACCGCGGGAGGTCGCTGTGCCACCTCGCGTAAGACCAGGTGTTCTGTTGGTCGCTCGTTCGTCACTCCCCACGGGGCAGCGCCCGAGTCCACTGCAGGCCCGTTCTCCGAGGCGGCTCCCGCCCGTGGCGGCGGGGAGCTCCTGGGCGGCCCCAGGGAGGACGAGACACGCCGGGGCGGACCGCTCCAGACACGCGGCGTCTTGACTTTTGCTGTGATGCGGGGCCCACACGGCGGTCCCGACCCTTTCCCCGAGGCCAGTCGCTTCGTCGCCCCCCCCCCCCCCGTTGTCGCCCCCCCACCAGGCAACGCCCAGATCCAATCCAGGCCCGTTCCCCGAGGCGGCTCTGGCCGCGGCGGCGGGGAGCTCCTTGCAGTGGGGAGGCCCCCGCGGAGGACGAGGCACGCCGGGGCGGACCGTTCCAGACGTGCGACGTCATTTTCCATCGTAGGCTTGCAGGCTTGCCTTAAAGGGGTTCTTACTTGGGTAAAGGTTGGTGCCTCGGGGGCTTCAATTGCCCGTTCCCCGAAAATTCCCCCCGTTCCCCGGGTTTCCTGGGTTCTTCGGGTTCTTCGGGTTTCCCCTGGTTCCCCGGGCTCCTCGGGCTCCCCGGGTTCCCCGGGTTCCCCGGGTTCCCCGGGTTCCCAGGTTCCTCGGGTTTCTCGGGTTTCTCGCGGGTTCCTCAGGTTCCCCGGGTTCCCTAAGCAATGCCAAGCACTGCGCCCATGCTATGGGAAGCTTTCCCCTAATTGGGGTCGTGCCGCGTGCATGTTTTTTTCGATGCAGGGGGGGGGGGCGCGCATCAAGATACTGAGTGCTTTTCCCCAGGGTGCCCCGGGTCTCTTCGCTCCGCGCGCGGAGCGGTGGCTTCCCGTGGCCGTCGAAGGAGCTGCTGCGTGCAGGGTGCGCTGGGCTCCCGCACCTCCCGCCTGCGGCCTTCCGGGCCGGGCTTCCCGCGGCCCGGCTTTCGGGGCCGGGTTTCCTGCGGCCGCGCCCGCCCTGTGCGGGGTCCGTGCGGAAGTCCCGCCCCGTTCCCCGAGGCCAGTTGTAAGTCGGGCTTGTCCCTCCACAGGGGGAATATGAGAAAATAGTAAAAATTCTCTGGGGACTATGTTTTTAGTATTTGTTTGACCATTCTGGGGCCTTTTTTGAGTATGTTTCAGTTTTCGTCGCAAATCCCCCTGTAGGGGGACACGCCCGACGAAAGGCCAGTTTTCGGTCCCGAGCCGCTGGTGGACGGCCCAGGGGGGCCCAGCGAGGGCGTGCGCGACTTCTGCACGGCGCGAGCAGGGGAGCCCCGAGGGCCGACGTCGCGAAGGAAGGGAGCATCGAGAAGGTCACGGCCAGATCCCTAGGCTTAAGTCGGGCACGTCCCTCTACAGGGGGAGTTTTCGAAAA